TGAATATATTCCTGGGTTATATTGTTTGTTAGACATATGTAAAGAAAGATGACATAACGAATTGCATCGGTAATTTTCCCTTTAAAATTTGAAAATTTCTTTATTGATCAATGCAATTTTATCATTTCATTAATAAAGAAAATAATTTACTTGAGGGATTATTTAGAGACAAGAGACAATCGTTGGTGTGTGATTGAACAATTATAACAATTCAATCTCGTAAATTAATAATTTATAATTACTCTTTTTTATTTATATATAAAGAGAGAGAGAGACATGATGCGCTTATTGCATAACTTCGAATTCTTGGAAGTAGGATGTTATGCGGAAAATTCTACGTCGCAATATACAAAAGAATATGAATATACTTCATAGGTGTTAATTATATGAATTTTTTTAACTACATTTAAGCTTAATCAATAACTTTAATTAATTTAATTCACATTTGTTGAATGCTATAGGTGTCTGAAAACATCTGCTGCGATAAAGCCCAGAAAGTTTTTTATTAGGACTTGGACAGGTAATTCTTATACGTTAAAGTAAGACTGGACAAAATACTTTTGCTATTATTTATATTTAATATGTACTATTCGCATAGTACTATAAAAGTTTCTACATTTTTAAAAAATACGTGTTGGAATTTTTTTTTTTTTATTACTACTTTTCGGGTTTGATCATTTCGGAAGTACGCGTAAATTTCTTAAGTTTCATTTTTTAGTCTTTTTTTTACCTTTGGTTCCTTTGCTTTGGGTCGCAGCAATAAACGATTTATATTTCATTTTTCTTTAAAGTTATTCATTATTAATAATTATTACAATCCGTCTTGGATCTCGTCAAAATATGCGATTTATGTTTATTTTTTAAAAAAAAATTTTTTTATCATAGCCGCACTTCCTGCGCCACTAAAATTAGTCGAATCGATTCCAATTCCAATAATTCCAATGCATTATCATTGTATTATAATTCAACAATAAACAAACACATGTAGGTGCTTAAATAATTTGTTTTTTCTCTAAATAAATAAATAAAAGAAGAATCAAATTAAACACATTTGAATGAGACTAGTAATTTTATAAATTATTTGCTTATGTTAAAAAAAAATAGATAAATACAAAAAAGATAATTATGAATAAATATATTTTAATAAATTTAGCAATTTTTTAATTTATAGAAATTATGACATTAATTAATATATACAATTAAAAAATTTAATTTATATTTTAGATAAAAAATAATTTAATAAAAGCTTTGAAAATTATTAATAATTTTTAATAATAATATAATATTTAAGTTTTAGTTAAAAATTTTATTAATAAAATTTATTAAGTAATTATTAATTAAATTGAGATTTTTGCTTATTTAATTTATATAAGTTAATAAGTATTATAATTAATTAATAAAAACTTCATATTATACTAATTATATTACATATTATATTATATAATTTGTAAGATTACATGTCATATATAATCAAATATATGATCTAAGTTTATATTACATTAATTATTGATTCTTTATATCATATAAATCACTGATTTTTACATCATATAAATTACAGTAAAAATGTGATTTTTGTCACTTTTTTAAAATTACTTAATTTTATACTATATTACTTAATTTACATCATGTATCATATTACAAATATAGCATATGATACAATTACTCTTTCTTATATTTCTTTTTCTCTTAAAAAATGTGATAATAATTTATTTGAGATGCTATTAAAAGAAGCAAATAAAGTATTACTAGAACTATCTAAATATAATAGCATTTATAATCTTGATTTAACAGATGATATTATATATAATAAGTTTTTTAAAAAAGTTAATAAACTACTTTACTAGTAATATCATAAATAACCTTTAATAATTAAATAAAATTTGATAAATAAAGAATGATAATTTACTTTAATTTTTGTAAAACTAACCTAAATCGCTTTTGATATTTTAAGATAGCTTAAAAATCATAAGTTAGTATAAGACTTTACAATTACTATTTTTATAGTAAAAAAAAAATAAGAAAACAAATTACTCAAGTGATATATTTACATATATTTATAAGGTTGAAGAAGCCGTTTATGACTAAATAATATAATTATATTATTTAGTCATAAACAGCTTAGATTAAGTTATTTAATAATAAATAATCTAAGTATGACTAAATAAACTAAATATAACTAAATAATCTAAAGTTAATAATCTAATTATGATTAAATAATCTAATTAAATAACCTAATTGTAATAATTTTTTATACCTACCTATTTTTCTTATTATATTTCTTACCTTTGAAATCGAATTTCTTTTTTTATTTCCTATTTATCATTTGTGATCATGTAATTAAATAATCTAATTATGACTATAACTAAATAACCTGAATGCACCTATTTTTATTAGTGTTTGTGATATTATAAATACTTTATGATATAATTTACGTTGATTATATACTATAGCCTTTTCATTACAATTTGATATCTTCTTATTTATACTTATCTCTGCTTATTTTTAGGCCAGCTTTTATATTGGAGATGACGACCTTCTGTGTCAATTTGATGCTAGTTTTATGATGAGAATGTGACCTATTTGGTTATCTTTCTAGATGTTAAAATACGGTAAAAAAAATATCATGTCAGGTGATGTAGTAATTTAATGTAAATTCACATTTATATTTAGCTAGTACTATGACATAATTCAGGCTGATCTTTAGAGCATATGATTTGAGGATCCAGCTTGGCACTATAATGGTAACTTGATAGTGTTCTAGAACTATCATAAAACTGGTAGGAAACTAGAGTATTTCTATTAGTTCGCTAGTTTCAGGCTAGCTTGAATGCTGAGTTATTATACCTAAAGATCTGGCTGAAATTGTAGAATAATGCTAGCTGAATTTATACTGCATCCTACTACTTCAATCACGTGATCCTGTTACAGTACTGAATACTATTTATCATATAATATAGCAAATTCAGTTAGTTAGGTATGATATGCATTTCTATGACTGACCCATTTGATTGCCAGAAATTAGAGCTCCAAACAGGTCAGTTCAGGTCAAATCAATCAAGTTACCTGAACTGAGAGGATCAGGTCAGGTCAAACAAAAATCTGACCTGATTTAAATTTTCATTTGACC